GGGTTTGGTAGGGCATATGATAGTCGCTTGTGTGATTGCGTTTGATGGGCTGTTCGGTTTATATCAGGGTGCTGCTATCATCCATGCCGTATGGTGCGCATGTGTTTCTGCGATTGTTTGTGTCTTTGCGTGAGCAAATCCGTACCGACTCTAGATCAGACGTGCTGGTCGCCCATGCTTCCGTGTAAACGATCATCATTCTTCCGTCTCCTGTTACAGGCTACGGCGCTTGCGAAGCCGATCTCGTTGCGAACGGCACGCACAATGCTCTCGGTGCGCTAGCATCCTCATGCATGCTGCTCCTCTTTGTCTGTGTCGGTGGCTGCTTCGTGGCTCTTCTTGGCAACAGAGACGGCTCTGTCTCTCTCCCTGCTCGCTCCTTTGCAGATGGCGACTTGATGACCAAGGGGACCGTATCACAGTCATGGTTGTGCGATCAAGGAGCTCCCGGTAGGCGAGACAAACACATCAACTGAGGAGGCCACCTGAATCTCCGTGTGTCCTGGAATCCAGCATGCGACCTCGAAAACTCGTGCGGCGAGGGCACCTGCATCACGAGGGTCCTGGACACCTGGCCACAGCCCATCCTGAACGGTCTGGGAGCTCTGAAACAGCTGAATGCATCCTTCGCGACAACCCACATCGACGACCCGTATCGACCTGCCATGCACTACTTGTGTGACGAGAACGGCGTTTTTGCTGCCAGAGACCACCTCCTGAAGACAGCCGAGGAGCAACTGTCACTCAACAAGGCGCTGCAGGAGGCTGAACGCCTGGGCCGAGAAATGGACCTTGTCAGGCAGACGAGCATGAGAACGTCCGTGCGGCGCAGGAAGAAAGGCGCGAAGCCCATCGATCCTCTCGCGAGACACAAGGCTGAGCAGGCGGACACGACGCAGGTGACGCAGATGATCACCAAGACAAGATACCAGTCCCGTGTGGAGGGGATGCTACTGGCCAGCGGCGTGTTCTCTGACTGCCTGTGCTGTCAAGAGGCATGAGTGCGATCCGACGGATGAAAGGAATCACGTCCAAACCGATGGACAATGCAAATGGACAGATCTGACTGAAGAGCATTGAAGTATGCAGCGATGGACAGTGTCACACACACATACATACATACATACATGCACGCACATACATACACGCACACACGCACGCACACACACACCCGAGACACAGCCGAAAGAAAGAAAGACATCATACAGAAAGATGAATGAAGCTATTTGCCTCGCGTCCTGAGGATTGAATGCAGTCTCATCACTCCCCCATCCGCATCCTGATGATCGATCATAAAAGCGTTGGCCCACATGTCGGCTTTGGGGCCACGCGTGGCCTTTCCAAGTCCTGGGGGATAGAAATAGATCGATTTGCCACTCGTCCTTTGAAAGAGATCCGTGCTGTTGACGAGGCGCCGCTGCACGAGCGTCTCCATCGGCATCAAGTAGTAATATCGATTTGTAGGAAGAGAAAGGGCCAGAAGGTCAAAATCATCCTCCTCGTAAAGCTGCAGGCGTCTTTGACCGTTGGCTCATCCCGCATATTTGAAGAGATGCACAACGAAACCTCTGCGTTGTCCAGAGGGCGTGTGCACCGTTTTATGCTGAATTCGATAGCGTCTCCCCTGCCATTCCCACACAGCGTCGACTGCAGTGTGCTCATGGATAGGCAGCCGAAAAAAAGAGACACCGGCCTCTGCCAATAAGAAGTCCCACGCTCTCTCTGAGATTTCGCCCTTGTGGTGCTTCTCCGACCGCTGCTTCATGATGTCATTGAATGGAGATTTGATGAATGATGGGTCCGAATAAGCGCTCAGTAATCTGGTGGATAGCGAGTTGGTGCCCCTCAACGCTGTTGTGCATTGAAAACGCTGCTCGTTCCACCGGCCGGTGTCGCAGACGTCGATGTGGCCGCTTCGTCCTTGTCATGACAGATCATTGTGCCACAATAAAACCAGAGGCGAAAGTCGCTGAGAGCCACGCAAATGACGGGCATTCCGGGGTACTGATCGACACGATGAAACTGCCAAGCCTTCCCACGAGGACGGTACTTCTCTTTGCACGTCTTGACCTGCACCGGCATCCATTCATCCGTCTTCACACCCGATGGACGCACTGCAAGGTCCGCATGTGCACATTCATAAGTTCTCTTGGCCTCCAGCTGCGTCCTCAGCAACAATAGCTCAGCAAATCCATAACGCACTGCACACCAGAGTTGGCAACGATTCGCCGCTGTCGGAACTCCCATCTTTGCATCCACAGCTCAGAAGCCCCCGTTGAGAAATGCCGCAGCAAAGTGCAATTGAAGCCCTGTCTGCTGAAGTGGCTAGAGGCCGTTGCTGATCCATGATGCACTGGCAGGGACCGAAGGGGCGACAGCAGGCACCGAAAAGAGGCCATTTGGACGTTGAGGAGGAAGCTTCTCACGGGAAGGGGCAGATTCAGGTGCATTGTCGGGCGGGAGAGGAGCGCCCTCGTGAGCGTCCAGGGCCAGCTGCCCCTCGCGCCCCCGATCGTCTTTACAGACGAGAACAGCGGGGAATGGATTTGCCGCCTTCTGATGCAGCTCCCGCCTCTCGGAGGACGCGACGCCCTTCTCGAGATGATGCATCCATGCCTCCTCCTTCGTCGACGCCTGATGGAAGGGACAGAATCGCACAGCCGATGTATTACGGACATCCGACTGGTGAGAACGAACGAATGACGACAGATCATGGTGAATCCATCCATGGATGAAGTACCCGAATCATTTGATTTATAGGTCCGGTTGGCCCCCCATCCGCAGCCCCAGCCGCTCTGCCGCCTGTGGCGCCCTCATCTCCGCCAGGGATGGCGTACAGGGGCAGTGTTATGATGCGGGGAGGGAGGGTGGAGGGGTACAGGGCGCTGGTTGTCAGCCCAGAAGACCTGGCGCTGCTGCCGGCCTCACATGTGAGAGATGGGAGAGGAGGGGAATGGATGCATTCATCGCATGATGCGCTTTGTTGCCGTGTCTGCGTGTCTTGTCAGGCTGAGAGATATCAGCAGATGGGAGTGATGCCGTCGTCGTTTGCCCTGTCCCTCCCGTCCTCCCCAAAGAAGACATACGCTGGCGGACTCGACTACCAAGATATAGGTGGGAGTGAGGAAACTCGCACATGCACTCATTCGGGCCCCTACGTTCTCTTCTTCTCTCTCGTATCGTCTGTTAGAGTTGGCCCCTCCTCAGGATGTGTTTGTGCAGACGCTCGATGGCCGCACACTCAAGAGGATACCACCCAGCAAACTAGATGTGGGCACTACATAATGACTTGTGGGAATGGAATCGCAATGTTGCTTGCTCTTCTGCTGCATGCAGGCCGTTCTGCAGGCAGGGGCAGATGTGGGCGACCGTCCAGCCGAGGACACCTCGCCCATCACTCGTTTCATTGCGCGGCACCCTTTATTCTACTCGTTGTCGTCCATCAAGGCTGCCCTGTGCAACCCACAAATGCAGCAGCTCAAGGAAGGTGCGGGAGATGGGAGATGGGATGGTGATGTGTGCACATATTTGCCCCTGCAGATGACGCTGAGGAGTGTTCAGTACTCGAATATTGCGCGCTGTTTGAGCGGATTGAGGCGGCGGCTGATGCCGTCATCACGGGCTTCCAGGGCATACTCATGGGTACGCGAAAGCGCCATACGGAAGCTAGGGGCAGCGAGCCATGGTGCTACTCTCGTGTCTCCTTGTGTGTGCTTTGTGTCGTCCATGTAGGTCTGGGCATCTGTGCGTTGTGGCTGTGGTGTCTCTCCCCGACGGGGTGGGAGTACCGCGAGAGGTGCCGGTTCTTCGAGCCCTACCTCAGTAGAGCCATCTTCCTACTCGCAAACATATGCCTGGTCAGCAAGTGAGCAACAGCCATTCTGCAGATGGACGTGAACGCGCATCTGTGGGTGCGATGGGCCAATGCAGACTGGCGCGTGCGTGAGGGCCATTCGCATCCATCGGCAAGGTGAGAAACGCACCGGCACTGCATGTGAAGCGTCCGTTGTGCATATTTGCATGTGGTGTGTGCAGTGGGCGGCTATCTGGCGGAGCAGTCGGCTGTGACCGTCCCGAACGCCTTCCTGGACCCCAGGATGTTCAAAGTCATGATTCTCATCGCAGGTGAGACGCGAACGACATACGTGTCTGGATGGATGGATGGATGGATGGATGTGTGCAGCGAATGCGTGTGAGGTGTTGGTGTCGGTGCTGGCCACGCCTCTGGACAACCTCCTGCTCAACGACCCTACCAACAAAAAGTGCGTGCACAGAGGGACGGGCGAATGGATATTGCATCATCATGAATGTGTCAGGTTGCTGCTTACACGGGCTGAGGAGTACCGCGTCTGGAGCGCATGCAGCCTCACACGCACATTCGTAACACACACACACACACCAACACGGCAACAGCCGACACACACATCACTTGGTGTGTCTCAGGTGCCCATCATAGCGTGGTTCTTCTGCCAAATCGATCTCCTGGCCTTCATCCACTTCCCCCTCCCCAGGCGGTTCATCCCCTCCCTTTTCACTCTCCTCTCACGGCGGCTCCAACGCCGAGAGGATGAGGCCGCCAAACGACCCACACACAGAATGCGGGAGGACAACCGCATCCAGCAGGACGGCGGGAGTGCGTATGGTGGGTCGGGGTCGTCTGCGGCTGGCACTTGGCGCAGCAGGGCTGTGGAGGTGCCTACGGTGCGGGGGAGTGAGGCGTCGTTCATGCCGTCGCCCAGGAAAATGTGAGAAGGGGTGAAATGAGTGGGTGGACAATGGGTGGATCGATGGATGGATGGGTGCGGGTGTTTGAGAGACACATCTGGTTGCGTGTGGTGAATGGCATTCTCGTGCATATGTCTCTTGGGACCACTTGACAAATACAAATCATTCAACACGTTGGCACGGTTAGTTCAGCAACCACACCACGCAATTGGAGAAAAAGGTCACCACGACCATTTAGTCAGCCATGCAGGCACCCCCCCCA